ATTGATACCTAAAAAAGATTGATTATAAATCAAGATTGAAAACAAATTGTGAGGCATAAAACTTTGCATCTATGGCAATTCTAAGCTTCTTTTATTGATTAGAGAGTAAGATTTGAGATCAAACTTGTAAAAGGTTTTTTAAGCATTAATTTTGAGTGATTTGAGTTTACTATAACTTTGTAAAGACTATACAAAGATAGGATTGTTTTGAGGTGACTTTGGATTATTGAAAAAAATAATAATAATGATAATATTTTAGAGAATTGTGTAAGATTGATAGTTGATCTATATGTGAAATTTTGTGATTTTTATTAGAATTTTGTCAAGTTTTTTTTCATAAGTTTAAGCTTGATCTAATGATTTATTTGAAGTTATTGAAATTTAATGATATTGAGGTCTAAAAACTTAGAATTTAGAGGACCAATGAAGGTTTCTAAGATATATAATAATCCACCAATTAGATTGAATAAAACTTTTGCACAATAGTAGTTGTTTCAATTTTAAACAATTTTGTAAAATTTAAAAGAAATTAAACTATAAGATTTAGAAATATTGGTGCTAGAAGATTGGCATCAAGGTTAGAAAAGGATGTTAGCCAATATCCAAGTGGATTTTACAATTTATCTTCTATTTGGTAAGTTTAATCTTTTTCAAGTTATTTGTGTTTGTTGTTAACTTGATAATTAAAAAGTATGCAAATTTTGAATTGATATAAATGATTGGATTAATTATTATAGCTCAAATGTACTATAGGGTTGATTAAGAATTTGGTTAGGATTTGTTTTAGGATTCAATTAGAATTTGATTAAGATTTGATTGAATTTTAAAATTTTATTAAGATTTATTATATTTTTAGTATTTTTAATATTTTATTTTTATATTTCTTTTATATTTTTTAAAGTTTTTTTTAGTTTTTTTATTTTTTTAATAATTTATTTAAGATTTCAATTGGAATTGATTAAGATTTGATTAGTATTGTTAAGATTTAATTAGAATTTATTTAAGATTCTATAAGAATAATAATAAAAATATTATAATATATTAAAATTTATTATTATTCTCATATAAGATGCAATGGCTTCTTCTTCCTTACATTTGCAATCATGTATACAAATTGCATCTTTGAAAAGAAGTTGACTTTTAAGGTTAATAAATAAAATTGATTTTTCTTATCTAGAAACAAATTGTCAAAAGACATTCCAACTAAGAAGTAGGTTGATAAGAATCTAATCAAATAATTCTTTATTAAATATCTCAACACTAATTTTGGTTAATTAAAAAATTATGTCACTAACTTTCTATAAGTATTCTTCAATGCTAGTCTTTTTTAATATTTCAAGATTATAAAGCCAAAACTTCATAATAAGTCTCCTATTCATTGATTTTGGCTCAAAAAAATTTCTTAATTTGGTCCAAATTTCTTTAATATCAAACATGTGTATGACATAAGGTAAGAATTTTTTATTTATTGTACTAACAATGATTTTGATTACCTTATATTGAGCGTCTTGCAAGTTTGCTAATATCTAAGAAGTTGGTGCAATAGTCTTTAATTTAGTAGCAATTGTAAAAGACATTGTTTTGATATGCGCTAATAGTGATGATCCAATAGCAAAGTTAGGATCTACAATGAGTCATAACTACAATGAGTCTCTTTTCAATATGGTTTTAAGTTTGTAAGCCTAGATGGCATAGTTTTGAACTCTTAAAAGCTTAGAATTTTCAAGTGCCACTTTGCTACTTAGGATTGTTTCTATGCTAGTTGAAACAATTATAAGTTTATTGAAGTATAACTAAACTGATAATGACAATGAGAGGATAAGAGAAATAAGTAGAGGTTTTAAGATAAGAGCTTTGATATCATGATAAAATACTACAAGTTAATATTATCTATTATTGTTTTGATAAATGAGAACTACAACAGATAGTATTGATAAATAAGAATTATATTTATATGTGAAAAACTACTTGGTATATATTATGTCTTGACTAATTAATAAACAAAGATAGATAAGATATTATTCATCACAAGTGAATGAAAAGAAAAACATCTAAGAGAAAGACAAGTGTGTTAACACATCTACCATTATGATTTTGTTTATTATTATTTCTTAAGTTCTTTGAGTTTATGCATCAAAAGTTTCACAGAGTTTATATAACAACTTTACAAAACCTTTGAAATAGATTGTTGTGAGGCTAGTAAAGCCAATTTGAAATGAAAGATGCATTGTAATTTGAACTATTATCACAAATGTCTATGTTCATAGGTATGACTTCCAAACCCAACTTCAATAGAAGTAGCTCTAGTACTCAACTTGAACAAACAAACAAACAACAACAAAAAAAAAAAAAAAAAAAAAAAAAATGTGCAAATTAGGCTGCACTGGTTCTACCCTAACATGAGCCTCACCCTCACAGCCAATCTCCAGTTTTCCAGGTTTATATGTTCATTGCGTCGTGGACATTTATCGTGGAGCTCTGTAGTCGGGTTGTATTGAGGAATGTGAATACCAGTATGTGACAAATATTCAGAGTTGAGAGCTGTCAAAGGTTCAAATCCTAGAAAAGAAAAATTATGGTCATGATCCCCTTTGTTAAATGATTCAAGTGAGTCATTTTGTATTCCTCAGGAGTCTGCTTCTAATTGTGCAGGTCAGTCCATGACTGAGGGTCCTACCTTGGCTGCCATGAGAACTATTGGCGATCGTGCTAACAATTCAGCAGGATCTCAAAATCTCAAGGCTCAATTCGTTTCTGTGGCATCCGTGGCGATTTATGAAAGGCCTCTAGCATCCTTGCACGCGTCTCACTAAAAGCCTGATGTGGAGAGAGGTGCAGGAAAATTGGGGAAGCATGATTTTGTTCTTATCACATTGAGTTCCCGTGAGCTCATTAAGGTTGAAAAATCATCCCCAAATCAGAGCAATGGAACAGTATGTCCCGGGACATATGTAAGAGTCTCGTGAGGTCATGAGGGAAGTGATCAATCCAAATGCCGCACTGGGGTAGAAGTGGGAGGGGCTATGGTAAGACTTCTAGATATGTGGACTGCTCTGAGAGGTGATGGGGCGATGTATCATTTGTTCGACACCAACTGCCATGACCATGCTTTCCACGCAGCCGTTAATCAAGCTCTGTATGCAAGCCTCGAACTTAAATCAGGATTATAAGGAGTACATCGGAGCTCAACTCGAATCTGGGATGGAGCCACAGAAGTGTCTGAATCCTCGAGGGGCAGCGCGAATTATTCTGAAGCCCTGAGCCAGAAGAATAAAGCAACTTGGGCAGAACCAAGGACAGTGAATGAGAGGGCCAGGGCAAGATGCTTCAAGTGTTTGAAGTGTAAGTTCCATAATTTAAAGAGTCAAAAAAATCAAAAAAAAATGATAAAATAATAATAGTAAAATAATAATAAAGGCTTCCATTTGGAAGTCAACCACATATACCTTATGTATGTGTGATTGCATTGAATCCATTTTTTTTTTTTTTTTTTTTTTTTTTTTGGGTTTGGTAATTAGTGCAATGTAATTTCACATCAAAAAGAGATTTTTAAATTTTTTTATTATACTATATTGGCACAACCATGATATAATATATATATATATATATATATATATATAGAAATTGCCTTAGAATATTGCAAATACATCATTGCAATTTGGTGCAAATATATCCTTCTAAAAAAAATATCAACCAGCAATAATACTAATACGAGATTGATGTGTATATTATTGTTTGAGATTATTTTTTAAATAAAAAATGTTTACTTTCTTTTTTAAAATTTTGTGTTTGTTTACAACTTTTTATGTGTTTTGTTTCCACAAAATAAAAGCAATTAGTTCATAAGTTTTTTTTTAACTATTATTTGTAAAACAATTAGGTGAACAACTTAGATTGCCACAATCTTTATAACTGCAACAACAAATCATAATAAAGATCTTCTAGAATAAAATATTCTTCTTTATGTAGATAATAAGACACAACAAATTTGATACCACAACTTTAGAAAAATTGTTCTGATTTGGTAAAATTATTAAAAGTTGGTATTATTTTTTAGATTTTTTTAGATTTTAGCTAAATATAGTTATAAAGATTTGAACAATAAGTTAAGTCAAAATATATTTTTTTCTTTTAATATGAGATATAATTATTAGTTCAAAGTACCTATCAATTTTTTTGTTGCAATATTACTGATTTATTATGGTATTTTTAGTAAACCATTTCTATAAATATATTACCACAAAATTAATATTATATAAGCACACAATGATATTCTTATCGAGCAATAATATACAATGAAATAATTTCTACTATTAATTCGCCATCACAATTATAAGAAAGTTTAATGTGTAAAATATAGAAATGATTGCTTACAATATTTAGAGCCTCTGCTTATTTTGATATAAATATTTATGATATTCCGAAATTTCCAAAATGAATGATAAATGCTAAACAAATAAATAAAAACACTCAAGTTGTGCATTGCACAGCCTTCAAATATTTGATGGTCATCTGTTGTAATACAATTGTTCCAAAAAAATATATATATATATATATATATATATATAGTATTGTAACAGAATCTAAAAAATACAAAGTCATGCGTACAAACACAAAAAATGTTATTTACCATTCTTCATATGTTTTATACTGAGAGGAGTTACAAAAATTACAGATGCAATAAAATTTTCGATTTTGTTTTTTTTTAAAGAAATAAGAAATATAATTTAGATTACCTTCAAACTCCTTGGTCGCTTTGAGAATTACCACTCATCGGAGTCTTAATTCTGTGACTAAAATGACTTACGAAGATGAACTACCAAGAACATCAACAAAAGGCGTTCAAGGTATTATTTCCGTTCCTCCCCAACATAGTCTATTCCTAAACCCCCACTTTATCCCTCCGACTTTAAGAACTATTGTCTTGCCAATTGACAAAACATGAGGCTCATTCCACATTGTGACAATTTGACAACCTGTTTTCTAGTTTGAACGTGAGATATGTTGAAAAATAATTGAAATTATAAAAAACCAAGAGTCAGATGAAACTGAGTCCAAACCGGTGCAACTACTCTTGCCTAAAAAACAGACAAACGAAAGGACCAAGATCAATGAGAAATTGAGATGAAATGATGAATTGCACTCCAATGTAGACAAAACTGCCGCTAGAGAAAACTGATGTGAATGCTATCCTTTAAAGCTAGCTACGAGATCCATCAGTGCTTGCTATCTGCTTCTTTATGTGCTCTGCAAGTTTAGGGAGATTTTTCATTTGCTCTCTTACTGAAGTTTTCATACAAACCTCCATCTCCCTCATCTTGGAGGCATCATCCTCAACAGATCCGCCTGAGATTTCTACTCTGTCTCGACACACCATCATACTTCTCTGCAGTCGTTCCTGCACAGCGACATCGGTTGGTTAGCTCAGCAATGAGCTAACATATGCGGCATTACAATGCTGCATACTCCGTAAGAGAAATTTCGTAATCGCATGGCCATTTCAAGGGTTTAGATCTCGAAACAAAAGCCCATCTGTTGTCTATCTCAGTTATCGATGCCAGAAGATTCTAAAAAAGACATAGTGGACACTTGCCTGAAACCTATTGAGCTCATTTTGCAGAATGGCACCAGCACGCTCAACAGGAAGGCTGCATCTTTCTACACATCTCTGTATCTGATTCTTGTCTTTGCTGAAACACTCATAACCACATTTGTAGTACTCTTTCTGTAAAAGCACCCCACATGACTTCTCAGCTACAACTTCAACAACATGCTCTATGTGCCAGAGTAAGGCATACTAGAAACACAACAACAACAACAACAGTGCGAATAGATTTGCATGGCCACAAAAACTGAGCAAACAACATAGGAATTGATCACGACAGACACCGAAAAAAATCCAGATAAAGACGGTTACCATACCTGAAGTGTTATGTTCACGTAGTCTTGAACTTCAGCAAGATTCTCAGTCACAGCATGATTGACCTCTTGTGAGAGTCTGTTCAACGACTCTGACATGATTCAGCTTTGGTCGCCAACCCCTCTGCAAACCCAAGCTCTGTCTCCTGATGCGACCAAAAACACGCAACCATCGGTGAAATGAAGGACAAACCCTGGTGGAATGTCTAAGAGACAGGTACCCAGCTTCGAAAAGAACAAGCAATCCTCCATCCATCACACGGAACACCCAACCCTTCGCCATTCTCTGACAAGTCATTGAACAACCGGCGAAATTCGGCAGCCAGTGCCCCGAAATGTATCCAACACATGCACGAAGACCGAAATTCAGAGGAGAGCTTCACACCTGGTGCCTGAGAGGGTGATTTTCTCGAAAAATGAGCTTGAGCTTCGGGCAACTAAACCCTAATTCCTGAGTCGGTCCGCGCGACGCGATGAGATCAAAGCTGGAACGCAATTCTGCAGCAAACTGCGACGATGACGACGATGATGCAATTGGAAGCAGTGGAGGTCGAAAGTGGACAATTGTGGGTTTAGGGTTTACCTCATTAAAACTCTGAGTTTTAGGGTTTCGTTTCGTCTGGAACCCCATAGGAACCCATCCATGTCATACTTGAGCATTTGTATAAAAGAATTTCATTTACAGCAAAGTTTCATTCCAACTGTTATTTTGAAGCTTGTTTCGTTTCAGCCTTGTGTGATAAAACATTAGATGAAGAACTGAGGAATTCAAACGTATGAAAAAGTACAAAACTTATTGTTTATTTAAATATGTTTAAAAAAGGCTTCCGTTGTATTCCAATAGCAAATAATATCAAACCTGTAAATAGTTTTGTCATCAAACTTCAATCAAAATATCTTTATTAATTAATAAAACATAATCAACACAACATTTTTTTTTTTTTTTTTAAAGTCTCCTAAGCTTTTTGCTCATAATTACTCTTTTGTTCACATATCTTAAAATTTCAAATTTTCAGATCTGAGTAATATAATAGATTTTAGTATTAAAGTATTTCTTGGTATTTTAAATAGATGACTGTAATAGTTATAGATATCCAACTAATAGAACAAAAAAATTAAGTTACATTTATTTTATTGTCTTGTTGTTTATATACATATGCATATATTACTTTGGCACTATTTTCCACATGTATAATTGTGTCTTCAATTTTCAGATTTTGTACATATACATACATTTGCTCTAGATTATTTCAATCAAGACCCAAACCAATTACAACAGGCTCTGCCGTGTAATCATTTTTTATTTTTTTATTTTTTTTTGTTAATTGATAGAAGCTACTTAATTTAATACTGCTTGTGCATTGTGCAATTGACTTTGTGCCTTGTGTTTTGATTTTCAAGATATTTTCAATTATTTTTACTTCTGTAATTTGGGCTAAATTGGATGTACAAGAGTTTAAAAAGAATAATATAATACTATATATAAAGAATAATGATCTAGAAAACCATGCTTCGAAGAATAAAAATGCATGTGTCATAGACCTTTATTTATTTATTTTAAGATGAAAAAAATGAAATTAAAAGGAAAAATAAGATAACTTAGAAAATCATAACATTACTTAAATAAAGTGTATTGATTGATGTATCCACAAATATAGAGAGTTACTTGTTTCCAGAAACAATCATCTAATGAGCAACAATAATTGTTTTCTAGCCATTTTATGAGTATTCACTGTAATTTGGTATAAAATTTTAAACATTGATACTTGATAATGTATATTTCATAGCAAATCTTCTAAAACTTATAACAGTATGCATATATGGTATGAATAAGAAAAACAAAATAAAAAAAAAAAACAAAAAACAAAAAACAATGTTTTTTGAGGTTGATCATCTGTACAATAATTAATTCTAATTTTCAGAGTGTTCATTAAAAAGTTGGATTCTTGTCAAAAAATTGTGCTTGTCCATCCTCTTGTTGATTCAATTTCTGTGTTTTTTTTTTGTTTCTTATTTATTCCATGACCTACTTCAGATTCCTCACATTTTCCCTTTGATTACTTTTTGTTTACCTTTTTATTACTTATTTATTTGATTTTTGTGATTTTTAATCATACCCTAGAATCTACACTTGCAGTTGTTCAATTGTTATTTTTCTATAGTACTTTCATTCATTATCTTGTAAAAGTGGTTTAGAAATCGATTTTACATCATATTGTATAGTTTTCTAATATTCTACAGAATTAATCATTTTAATTCTTAGATTAATTTGGATAATTTGCGAGCATATTTCTCCTCTCCACATCAAGTTATTCATTTAAAAAACAAACACACACACACACACATGATAAGAAGAGTTTTAAAATAAATAAACAAATATTCCAATGAGAATAATTTTGAGCACTCATGGAAGAGAGGACATTAGAATTCATGTTTTGAACAAACAATTGAAGGGTATAATTCTGTTATAAGTAAAGTACTTGGGGATTGCTCAAGCTAGATTCATGGCCATGTTTCTTCATCTACGAAACTAGATGCAGAGTGCAGCAGTTGTTGTTGCTAGAGTGTCAATCTTTCGGCGTCTTACTTTGCAAGAGCCAATAAATTGTGTGTCTGTCATATGTCAATCTGCCGAATGCAGAATGAGTGTACTTTCAAGACTATGGTGCATCGTGAACGTGTACACTAAGTCGGTATGTCAGGTTCGTTTTTGGTGGGGATGGTCTAAAATTTTAGTATATATCCTGGTTTCTGTGTGGTTATGTTGATTGCTCATGCACAGCTATTTGCTCAGAGGTCCAGGCCTAGCACCATCTTCGTGTTCCAAGTATTTAGACCAGATGAGTCTCGTTGTTTTCTCACTTTGAGAGATGTGCAATACGGTCTGGACCGTCTCTGCTTCACCATCAACAGGAACACAAAGAAAAGACTGGTTCTATGCTGTTCTATTTAGAGAAGGTGCAATTGACAAATGAGGAGCTATCTAATGAGGTCGCATCCTTAAGCACATCACGTTCTCCTTCATACCAAAAGATCAGAATTCCGCAATCGGCAGCAGTGGCTGGCAGAAGGATGGTAGTGGCTTCGTCTTCTCCTTTGCGTCAGAAAACATCTCCAGTTTGTACCGTGATCGACTCAGCCTTGACGTAACGGATCCGTCATCCGGTACGAAACAACGAGTTTGTTCCAGGGGTACACACTTTCTAGTAGCGATCGATACGTGTAAGAGTTACGTCGACGATGATCCAAGTGAAAATCACATTCAGGTTGGCATTGGCACCCTCAAGTCCCTTAAAACTTACAACCTCTATGGCCACCAGATCACGAATTGCTCATTTCCCTTGAAATTAACCTTGGATCAATACATCCAATTGAAATTATCCTTGGATCAATACATCCAATTGAAATTATCCTTGGATCAATACATCCAATTGAAATTATCCTTGGATCAATACATCCAATTGAAATTATCCTTGGATCAATACATCCAATTGAAATTATCCTTGGATCAATACATCCAATTGAAATTATCCTTGGATCAATACATCCAATTAAAATAATCCTTGGATCAATACATCCAATTGAAATTATCCTTGGATCAATACATCCAATTGAAATTATCCTTGGATCAATACATCCAATTGAAATTATCCTTGGATCAATACATCCAATTGAAATTATCCTTGGATCAATACATCCAATTGAAATTATCCTTGGATCAATGCATCCAATTGAAATTATCCTTGGATCAATACATCCAATTGAAATTATCCTGGGATCAATACATCCAATGGAAAGTTTGTTCGACCATGTTGGTATGATTTTTAATAACATTAAGATATTATAAGCCCAAATTATATTGTAGTTTATCATATAAAAATTAAAA